TTTGTATCAGTGTATTTCATCTGAGCTCAGTTTATTGACTTGCTTCCAAAACATAATATACCTTGGTCTGTTTGCCCTGTTTTCCTTCTGACATTACTTTTTCTGGTTCATTCAGTTTCTGAATTCCTTAACAAGGCGACTGTATTAAAATAGCAGAGAATTAGCTGAAATGATAATGTTCTGTTACAAAAAGCACATGACTTAAAACATCTACAGGAAATAACTGATAAAATGGCTAAAGGACATAAACTAGTTTTTGTTCATCTCACTGAATATTCTTTAATGATCCAAAGAAAATATTTCCATATAAATATAAAGGAAAAAAGTAAGCTGTAAACATGGCAAATGTGATGTGTAAGAACAATGGTATGCATAGAGCGGTCCTAACCTGATGGCTTTTCAACAAGATAGCTTGTATAAAGGGAAATGCAGTGATGCATTTTGATCAAGTATTATGTTGGAAATTTCTGTTTAATGTGCTTCTAGATATTGTACAATTTTGACATCTAGAAACTAATGATAAAATTGGATAAAGTAGCTTATATTTTCATAAACAAATTAGATATTTTTCTCCAACGTGGCAGTTGCTAACTAGCATCTATTTGATGCCTTCTGTTTGATATCCTTTCATTCAGCTTTCTAGAACCTGGTTTTGGACTTAGTTCCTTTACTTACTTAGCTATTAGTCTAGAGGTTTTGCACTTCTGAAGGGTGCCAGATAGTTAATAATTGTAGAAAAAAGATTGTATAACTATACAAGTAGTCCTTGCTTAACGGTCATTCGTTTAGTGACCATTCAAATTTACGAACTCACTGAAAAATTGACTTACAACCAGTGCCCAAAGTTATGGCCATTGCAGCACTCCCATGGTCACATGATCAAAATTCAGGCACTTGGCTACCCACCCACATTTACAGCTGCAGGGACGCTTCAATTCCCCCACCCACCTATCTCCCCCCTACTATGCTCACTTGTTCCCCTGCCACCCTGCACTCTGCCACCCCAGCTGACCTTTGCTGTCTTCTTGCTCCAAAAAGCCCCTTGCAAAAAGTTTGTGGGTGGGGCTGGACTGGGCTATTGCTTTGCACTGGGGGGGGGGAGAATCTGAGCAGCAGCATGCCAAAATACCCCTTTGCAAAAAGCTGTTGGGTAGGGCTTTTGCTTCGTGCTGCAAAAAAAAAAAAAAAGTAGCACCCCTTCTTCCCCCTTTTTTTTTCTTCCCCTGCGGGTAGACCAGTCCTCTGGCTGCAGTAGGTGGGTAGACTGGACCCTCACAGCCCCCTTCAACCCTCTTCCTTGTTTTCTGTGGGTAGACTGGTCCTCCTCCTTGGGAAGTTGGGTAGACCGGTCCTGCTTTCGGCCATCGGGTAGACTGGGCCAGCCTTAGCTCTCCAGTAGGGTTAAACTGGGCTTTTGGCCTTTTTTTTTTTTTTTTTTT